TTCTTACTTTAATTAAACTCTTCTACACACAAACAAACAAATAAACTTTGAAGAAATGTTTGGCTCAATGTATTGATTGAAAGCTCATCAATCAGGTGCGAGCAGATTAGGATCATTATGCCTTCTTGATGGATTAAGCTCTTTACTATCACAGCATGTCTCTCTTTATTCTCAGTAATATTCCTTGTTCTGAAGTCTTCACAGTCAGATATTGATGTGATTTCTTTGGTTCCCTTATAATTACTGTTTGCTTTGTATGTCTTTTCTCCCTGGTTTTATTTTAAGCAGTCTATGTCTTTTTATATAAAGCTGATTCCTTGTACAGAGCAAATAGCTGGTTCTTGCTTGTGGGTCATCCTGACAACATCTGTCTTTTAGTGGAGTCCTTAGACCATTCACATGTAATTACTTAAATGACTGTATATCTACTATCTTGATTTTTTTTTTCTATTTATTTTATCTTTGCGACCCCAAGAATTCTCCAGGCCAGAATACTGGAGTGGGTAACCTTTCCCTTCTTCAAAGGATCTTCCCAACCCAGGGATCAAACCCAGGTCTCCCGCATTGCAGGTGGATTCTTTACCAGCTGAGCCACAAAGGAAGCCCCTTATTTTATCTATATTTGCTCATTTTTCCTACTCATTCTGTCCTCTATTGGATTTTTTTTTAGTTTTTTATTTTTTTTGTTGGTTTTATTTCACCTTTTAATTGATCTATAACTTTTATCTTCCACTTTATTAAATAATATTGTAACATCTTATCATATAAGTACACTTCTTTTTTATATCTAATGTTTTTATTTAAAATATTCACTAAATGTTATATCATTTACTTTGTCATGTTTTAATTTTTTGTTAGATGTAGAGCTTTAATCTTTTAAGAAACATTTTATTGATGTATGACTGACATACAAAAACTGTACATTTTTAATTTATACAATTTCCTGAGTCTGAAGATAATTATACACCTGTGAGATTGTCACCACAATGTATGTCACAAACATATCCATTACCTCTAAAAGTTTCTTTTTTATTGTTATTGCTTCTTTTGTAATAACATTCAACATAAGATATACTCTCTAAACAAATTTCAAGTGTAAAATACAGTATTGTTTACTATAGTCACCATGATGAATATTAGAATTCCAGAGCTTTTCATCTTATAATAGAAACTACTTTGACTAAACTAGTATCTCCCTGCTTTCCTCTCCCTCATGCAACTGCTGCTCTCTGCTTCTATGAGATTTCTTTGATTTTGACTATTATAGATTTCGTATATAAGTGATACCATAAATAATATTTATTCTTCTGTGTCTGGTTTATTGCACTTAGTATAAAGTTCTTTAGGTTGCAGTTTTTAAATGTTTTAGGGTGAATTTTTTGTTAACTACTCACTTAGTTAACCTCTAAAGTTTATCTGAATTCAATTTTCTGTGAATCCCACCTCCCTCCACTTCTTGTTTATATATATATATTTAATTTTGTTGACATTGTTTTGTTTTCTGAACAAGCATTTCAGTTTAGTAGATAACAATGTTATTTACAGGTACTATTATGTGCTTTCTGCCTCATATTGAAGTTTTCAGCCATAGATATTTTTTCTGTTCTTAGTTAATGAAAGTTTTGTTTTTCAACAATGACTAACTGTCATTAAAGACTTTTCCCATGTATTGAGATAATCATATGTTTATTTTCTTGTATTTTGTTAGTACAGTGAATTATATTGAATGATAGTCGTTTCAGACCAATATTATATATCTGGGTATCTTAACTAGATCATCACTTTTACTTCCTGTTTTTATATATTCTTGAATTTGTATTGCTGTTTTTAAAGTAATTTTTAATACTTCTTTTTAAGTAAAATTGGCTTAAAATATTCCCTTATAATGATGCTTGTCAAATTTTAGAATGAAGTTTATTCTGGCTCCATTGGGTGGAGGAATGTTCTTCCAGAAAGGGGAAGAAATATCAATCTCTGTCTTCAATGGCATTCTTGCATGAAAGGAGTCAAAATTTGTTTTTTCTTTATGACTAGCTTTATCCAATTCTTAATGGAGACTCTATTTTCTAGAGTAAGTAATGTATAATATTTATAAATATTTAATTTTGTGCTTGAGAATTGGGAGTTTAATTACTCAAGATAGAAGATGCCTAGATAAATTTACTAAGTTATGAATACAAACATATTTTGATAACTATACCAGATTGCTTTCTAAAAATTTATCAGTAATTTTTGACTAAATAGAACTTCCACATTTCCAAATTTTCAGTCTTATTTTATTCCTTATCAGTATAACAGAGAACATAACACTTCTCTCTTGTTTTAAATTATATTTCTACTACCTAATAGATTGACTTTTTTCTGTTTGTGTTTATCATTTGCATAGCTTTTCATTAAGTTTGCTGACTATGATATATGACTTATGAGTGTTTAAAAATAGTAAAATATGGTTGTCATTTGAGAATTAGGTTTTATAAGTGTACATAATGGATAGAACATATGTCAGTTCTCTTCAATTCAATTACAGTGACTCTTAGGCCAGTAAATTTTGACTTTAATCTGGTGAGAGGTGTTAACACACCCTGAGAAAGACTGTATGCAGCCCTGAGTGTATAGAAAAATAAGAGAGGGCGTCACCAATGCAAATCATAACCATGCCCACCCTAACACTGTTCAGGCAGCGTTTCCCTGGCAGGTTATCAGAGTATGATGATCTTGTGTCAATCAAGTAACCAAAATTAAAGTTTAACATAGATTCACCAAAAGCACTAACTAATAATGTGATGTCTATTCTAATCACAATGCTGTGACTATCTGATTTGTTTTATAATTACAATTTCAGTGTAACTTGACAAATTCTCTCAAGTTTCTTGCAGTTATCAACAAGTTGGCATTTCTGGGTCTGTAAGTCTGTGGGCCAAAACTTGCACTAGGGCAATTCATTAAATTGATATCAATTATGAGGTTTTCTGGTAGTTGGCCAGCAAAATGTGCTCTGCTGGTCATACCATTCTGCAATTCAAATACAGAGTAAGTTCTGTGAGTCTTTGTTTCCTTAATATTCAGTCATTCATATGAGGCCAGAGTTCTTTCTTAGTCTTCTCTGTCTACAACATCTGCATAAATTAAGTAAAAAATTGCTGAAAAGTATTGGGTTGCATTGAATTGAACAAAGCTGAACATTACCACACTGAGATTATTAACACTGCATGTTTATAACATACCATTATAAACATGTTTATAATCTCTATTATATCCTTTACTTGCCTTTATTATCTGGTAATGAACTTTTTAATAGATATCTTGACTTCATTTGAAATCTTTTACTGAACACAGAACTACGGCTTTGCCTCTTTTGTAAAACCTGTCATTTCTCATTCAAATAATATTCATACAGCCTGTTTTTAATCAATTTAAGTTTATTAAAGTGATACCCAATGAAGTAACCTCACACCCTCACATGTGTACAACAAATGTGATAGGGACAGATTGCTGCAGGGTACAATGTCTCAAAGATATGACTGAGGTAAGAACAATCCAGTTTTCCACTAGCTTCCTATTTCATCACTACAAATGCCTCATGTGTATCAAACACCAGTATAACTTACCTGCAAATCACTGTTTTGAATATTATTTCCTTCTTATGGCACCTACTGCATGTGCTTGCATGTTAAACTTTTGGTATATTGATGAATATGGTAATAGAACAGTAATTGTCTTACAATCTAAGTAATAAAAACAAAAAACACAATTACATCTTCAGTTAAGAAATGACATTTGGATTCAAAGCTAATACAAACAGAATAAACACCTCCTGGCAAGAATCAGTGATGTGGTGACAACCGTGATTGATCTGTGACTAATACAGGGCTGAATCAATTGTGCTCACCTTCTTTACGCTAGTCATTCCCTGATTTGGTGAGATGTTTCTGAAATTTCACTTAAGTGTTTTAAATGTGTAGAATATATTTCATAATTACTAATATGTGTGCTTTCTGTGACTACTTTGAAATTTAAACTCTCACATGAATTAAACATCACTGTCTATTTATATATCCTATCATCATTTTCAGCTGGTAGGTTTATTATCAATGATATAAATAAAATTTGTAAAGTGCTATGACAGTTGTCCCAAAAAGTGTAAGTCTACTCTTATAATTTGAATTATGGCCTTGGTGATGCTATTGATATGTTATTTGCTTCAAAATCAGAGCATCAAAACTCAGTCCTATCATTGATACTATAGTAATTGGGGTATTCAAAATTTAATTATAATTTAAAATTTATGAACAGTATTGCCTCATTTGTGAATGTGGAATATTTGCAACTACTTATAGAAATCAAGTTATTAGCTGAAATAGTTATGAACTATAACTTATGAAAGTTTTCATTTAGCCTGTAATGTCAAAGCAATTTCTGTTTTTAGCACTAAATTGCTTTCTATGCTACTCCAGTCAAGTTAGATGTGTTTGCTAATCTGATTTAATATGGAGATATCTTTAGAAGGCTGCAAAATTTTTTAACAAGACCTATATAAGGGAAATTATAAATTCTAACATATATAGTTACTGTTTGGGGGCTTCGCTCATGGTTCAGACAGTAAAGAATCTGCCTGCAATGTGGGAGGCCTGGGTTCAATCCCTGGGCTGGGAAGATCCCCTGAAGGAGGGAATGGCAACCCACTCCAGTATTCTGGCCTGGAGAATCCCATGGACAGAGGAGCCTGGCAGGCTACAGTCCATGGGGTTGCAGAGAGTCAGATATGACTGAGCAAGTAAGCACAGCACAGCACAGTTATTTCAGGGAAGATGAAGTGAGCCACAGAATATCAAACTGGTAACATAATATGAGGTTCTGCACTGCATTTGCCAACCTTAGAGTGACAAATTCAGGTCTTATCACTGGAAAGACTAATTATGATAGAAACACAATGATAACAATTAAACATGTGCATTACAAAAAATAAGAAGAAAGGACTTGTGTTGCTTCATCACAGTTATCTAAAAGGCTTCCTTGGAAGCCACATGTTGGTTCCTTAGTCTCTTCATGGCTTCCTTTACATCTTTATTCCTTAGGGTGTAAATCATAGGGTTGAGAAGAGGAGTGAATACAGTAAAAAACACAGAGATAAACTTATCAATTGTGAAACTTTCAAAGGGCCAAATATAGATAAAGATTAATGGGCCAAAGAACAGGACTACAACAGTAATGTGGGCAGACAGAGTGGAAAGTGCCTTGGATGTCCCACCAGAGGCTTGGCGATGAACAGTAGCCAGGATGATAGTGTAAGAAATGAGCAAAAGGAGAAAACAGATAAGTGACAACAGGCCACTATTTGTGAGCACCAGGATCTCTAAAACATAGGTGTCCAAGCAGGCAAGTTTAATCACAAGGGGGAGGTCACAAAAGAAATTGTCCACTCTGTTGGGTCCACAAAAAGGAAGATCTACTGTGAATACCAGGTGACTGGCTGAGTGCAAGATGCCAATGGCCCAGGAGACTCCCACCAGGACAGTGCACACTCTTCGGTTCATGATGGTCATGTAATGTAGAGGTTTGCATATAGCGATATATCTATCATATGCCATGGCAACAAGAAGTACCATCTCACTGCCCCCAAAAACATGCAAAAAAAATATCTGTGACATGCATCCCTCGAAAGTGATGGTCTTATGTTCACTGAGGAAGTCTGCAATCATCTTGGGAGTGGCAAATGTAGCCTGACACACATCAATGAAGGAGAGATTGCTAAGAAGAAAGTACATCGGAGAATGCAGTCGAGAGTCTGTAATCACTGTGAGAATGATAAGAATGTTTCCCAACACTGCAGCACCATAAAACACAGAGAAGATAAAAAAGAGGAAGAGCTGGAGTTCCCGAGAGCTAGACAGGCCCAACAAAATGAATTCAGTAACCACTGACTTATTGCTCCATCCATTAAATGAATCTGGGCTGCTCAAGTTAGCTAAAGGGAAGAAAAATAATTATTTAAAAAAATGAATGGATAATGGTATTATTATTATTTCTGGAAATTTATATTTTCCTTGTGTTATATAACTATACAAACTGTCATTTACTTTTGCATTTATGGATTGGCTAGATAAAAGATGGATAGAGATAACAGATTTATCTAATAAATAAGTCAATATGGAAGGAAGGGAAAATTTGATTTGATATTATATACCAATATACTTTTTATAGAAGTGTGCAAGATCTCAATAGCACTTTGAAAGTCCCATGTACCATACTTACACATTCAGATTAGAAATTCAAAAGATGAATCTGATGCCTTTAACAGAATCTTGGAGGGACAAGAAATTTAGGCCAAGTGCAAAGAGATGAAAATCAGACCAATTACTTTAGCAATGACATTGGAGAAATACGTGAGAAGTGGCCATGCATTTGAGAAAATCTACAGTGATAATAAGAGAGAGAAATTAATTTGTAACAAGTTAAACTACTATGAGTGACAAATTACATTCACTTTTCTATATTAAAAATAATTTGAGTTTTACATGATTTAGTAGTCAAAATATCTTCCTAGAAACTCAGAAGCATATGTTCTTTTCAATCACTCTTTATTTCTCTCCATATTTTCTCCTTTTCACAGCAGTTTAATATAATATTATTTAATCTGACCTTAAAAGCACTTCAAAGATGGAACTGAATATAATTTAATTACTATGATATGTTTGTTATTTAAACTTGTATTTATACCACTTATCTTTGCTGGTGATTTTTTAATCTCTTCTTTCTCTGATGAGTTTATCACAATAACAAAAGTGTTTTTCCAAAGTCAGCTGAAAACATAATTTATATAATTAATTAGCTCAACAAATAATAAAAATTGCCTGCCCTGCACCATGCAACCTTATGGGCTCTGGAGGCAAAGCAATGGGAAAAAAAGCGGGGTGGGGGTGGGGAATATGTCCCACCTTCACTCCAGTGCTCTTGCCTGGGAAATCCCATGGACGGAGGAGCATGGTAGGCTGCAATCCACGGGGTCGCGAAGAGTCGGACACAACTGAGCGACTTCACTTTCACATTTGGTTATATTCTAAAGAAATGGTGGGACTGGCGGAGGCAATGGAGATAAAATATATATTATGTCATTTAGTGATAAGTGCTTCAGAGAAAATAAAGCAGGCCAGAGGAATATGGACTAACCAAGTGGTCATAAAACCTCACTGGGCAGGTTACATTTCAGCAGCAACTAAAGAAAATGAAGAGCAAGCCTTGAGAAAATCTACTTCAGACAAAAGGAATAGCAAACATGTGCAACAAATTGTTTATGTGAAATAAGCATTCTCTTGAAAAACATCAGTATAATTTTGGCCAGTTTATTAGAAATTAAATAATGGAAACTTAGCTTTTAACCTTACTATGAAATTGACATAATCGCCTTTTTTGAACAATAGTCTGCCTCATAGGCTTAAACAATTTTAGAAAGCTGTAAATTCAGTCTTAAAATAAGGACACACACTAAAAATCTAGCCTTTTTTGTTTTCTAAAAAAAAAATAGATGTAAAATTGCATCCCAAATTCTATACATATACTTCTATATACAGAATTTGAAAAGCAATTTATATTTTTATATAAATGCATGGTGATAATTGTATCATTCAAAATAAAATTAAAATGATCTGTGATTTCTTGTAAGAACCCTTGAAATGAAGCTTATGGCCAGATCTCAGAATCTGGGAAAATTTTTCTGTGTGTCTGTCATCACATTCAATGACAGCTGGATGAGATATACTATATTATTTATTCAAGGTAAGACATCCACACATTGAGAGCATTTTAAAATATAAAAACTACTAATTACTTTTTTGTATTATTCATAGAATCTTATGCCTTTTAAAATATCTTCCTGTAGTGTATCAATGTATATACAAGGCTTGACAAGAGTTTTCAAAGTGATAAATGCAAGATCTATTGGCTTATTAAAATGACAACTTTTAGCCCCATTCTATTCTCTATCACCATATCTATTTTTTCAAAATAGTTTAGCAATAGGCTTACCTTCACCTGGGTGCTTCAGTCCATCAACATGTTAGCAGTGGGAATAATCAGAAAAGTCTAATGTTTTATTTCAGATTTTAGAATCTCCTATACGAACTCCAAGTTCTTGTTTTAATTTAATTCTTATTTTATACTGGAGTATAGTTGATTTACAATATTGTGTTAGTTTCAGGTGTATGGCAAAGTGATTCAGTTATACATATACAAATATCCATTCTTTTTCAGATTCTTGTCCCATACAAGCTATTACAGAATCTTGTCATCTCACTTCTATAATTACTTTGGCCCAGAATCCCTTTAACTCTGAATGTTAATATCTATATTTAATTTTTTGCTTCATGTGATTATATTCTGCATACCAGTTTTGAGAGAAATCACAGGGGAGCAATAATAGGTTGAAGAAAAGAAACCTCCAGAACCTATTGGCTTAAAAAAAAAAAAAAGATTGAGTCACAAGAGCCGATAAAACAATATTTGAATACCATACTGCTGCTGCTGCTGCTGCTAAGTCGCTTCAGTCGTGTCCGACTCTGTGCGACCCTATAGACGGCAGCCCACCAGGCACCATACTACATGCCCCCAGATATCAGATAACCAATCCCATGGATTGCAATAGCCAATTAAAAAACTTCCTTTATTAAGTGAGGTCATCTTGCTGTGGGAATTACTGCTACACTTCGAGTTGTTTTTCTCAAAAACAAGATGACAAAAACATTTATTTGTCTATAATTGAAAGCAAAGTGCACATCACAAGAGGAAATGTAGTGACCTAGGAGTTTGCAACACCAGTTACTCTTGTTCAACAAGCTGTCTCCCTCCACGTGCCTTTTTTCCCTTGTTTAAAGTGACTAAGCCAGTAAATACTAGCCCAAACACCCAGAGCAGGAATATGTGTCATAAGAAATATAAATCTGGCAATGGGCCTAAGATAATCAGAATCTTTTCTTTAACCCTTTGCTTTTTTCTTTTTAAGGAAATTATCTATGATAACATTTTTCAAACTCCATACCTTATAATAAGCTACCCCTCAAAATCCAATATTTTAATTGCCTTTGCTCATTACTTAACCATATATTAAGATCAGAAAGAAAGCTCATTTGGGCATACAGTGGGTAAAACTGCTTAGATGTGCAAGTGGTTTGCTTTTGGATTTTGTGGAAAGAGGTCTCAGAGCAGTGAAAGGACTAAAGTCTGCAGAGAAAAGCAGGTGACAGCAAGAAAGGGAAACTTGGTGAGCCCATAAAGAAGCCCAGGTTTCTCTGAATTCTCTACTGATAGACCAGCTTCCTTCTTGATCTTTCTCTTTAATATTTCACAGATATTTCAATTCTTCTGTTTCCAAACCTATTCCCCCTTCACTCTGCCCCATCCCCAGCTAATAGCATTTCTTTTGCCCCAGCATTTTCAGCCAGAAACTTAGTTCTTTCCTTTTCCTCACTTTTTTTTCTACATTCTACTTTGTATTCCTCCAAAATATTCCCAGTTTATTAAATTATATTTACTTTAACTCCTCTGTCTAAACCATCATCATTTTTCTCCTCAAATGTTTCAAGATCTTCTGATGATCTCAATTTTTACCACTGACTTTTTCCAATCGATTCCTCCAGTTTAATCTTTAAAAATAAAATAAAACCATAAGTCATGCCAAACTTTAAAATAAAGCAGGCAGTTATCTTAACTAGAAAAATGGTTTTATTTTGGAATAGCAGACATATTGCAATTGCAAGCTATGGCAAAACCATACACAAGCCTGGCAGACAAAAGAGAAGGATGTTACTTTATAGAGAAAAAGGAGGACATTTGGAGGAGCTGGTTTGAACAAAAGTTCATTGGAGGAAAGTGAGAGTTCCGAGTGGTGACATCTCATTGGGTGAGTGGTGGTAGTTTCTCACTGTACTTATATTCCACTTTTTATATGATAGTTTTAATGTTTATTAATATGTTTGAGTCACTTGCATTTCATTAATAATAAACTGCCTAATATTATACTTTGCTAATTTTTCTACTGGCTTCTCGGTATTTGCTTCAGTTCAACTCAGTCACCCAGTCGTGTCTGACTCTTTGCGACCCCATGGACTGCAGCACACCAGGCTTCCTTGTCCATCACCAACTCCTGGAGCTTGCTCAAACTCATGTCAATCATGTTGGTGATGTCATCCAACCATCTCATCCTCCATCGGCCCCTTTTCCTTCTGCCTTCACTCTTTTCCCACCATCAGGGTCTTTTCCAGTGAGTCAGTTCTTCACATCAGGTGGCCAAAGTATTGGAGTTTCAGCTTCAGCATCAGTTCTTCCAACAAATATTCAGGACTGATCTCCTTTAGGATGG